AATATTGGGAAAACCCATTACAAATAATGCGCCGCGAAAATATGTGCTGTTGCTACACTCTAGTTCCTATTTCTCTTACTGGTGCACAATACTCCCCGAAAAACTCTGACATGCCACATGTACTCTAGGACATTTTTAGGAAAGCAATATTTTATTTTTTGCCATTCATAATTCTTTTCGAACGGGAGTTAATGACGCTCTGGAGCCCAATGCTTGTTCTTTAATAGTAACTGTTCGATAGATCTTCATGCAAACTTTGTTTCTGCCGTTAAGGCACAGAGGTACAAAAGTTTGCGGGATTAATTTTTTAATGCAAGCTAACTGCATATTTGTGACGTTCACGAAAAGACTGTTGAGGTCTTTTTTCGTGAATTTTCGACCTCAGTAGGAGCCACCATACAGAAACCTTGCGAGCTCATTGAATACAGGTTATCTTGCTTACAAATGGCGCCTGGTAGTCGCTTTAGAAGCTTTTGAAAGAATCCGGTACATTATATCAATTGGAAAGAAAAAAACGGCATTTCCATCCGCTGATCTATCTTCTCTTCTTCTTCGCGCATTTTCCCTAAGGTTAGCCGTTTCACCCTCAACAGCTCTCGGACCTCCCCCAATCTCCTGGTTGCAGACCTCTACCACCATAGCTTTTCTGAATATTTTTCTCACTCTAAGGAACGCCGGTCTTCCTCGTTTTCTCCTCTCATGTGGTTGCGCCACTTTAAGACCTTGTGTGCAGGCATTCTCGAACCATGTCCATACCATTGTAGTGCTTATTTCCCCAGGTCTTCGTAATAGAACAAAATTGTAATTCATCCTTCTCCATATTTCTTTCATTCCGCCACTCTGTCCCTGCGAGTAAGTTGTAGGGCATCGTTCTCATGTAGCTCCATTTGTACTCTCCTCTCTTCCGCTGAACATTATCTTCCACATTCCTACATCTGCGCTACCCGGGATGAAGCCGCGTCTCTGTCAATTGAACTGACCGTTTTCGGCCATCTTGCTGTGGCCTCTTCAGAGCCTATAACGTCAGTACAATGACCGAGACGCGGCCTCATCCGTATAGTCAAGAATGTTATTGACTCTCCGGCGGAAAGCCCTACGAACGGTATATTCACATTTCCCTGGCGTGGAATGCTGGCATAATTGTGCCTTGCGCCCCTAGGGGAGGTCGGCTAGCTGACAGCCTTTTTTTTTCCTTCCGCAGGTGAAGTTTCAAGGCGCCGACCTGAGCCTGACGATCCGCGAAAGTCACGCCGCTCACCCCTCGGGCGCGGGGCGCGCCCGGCGTCGCGGCGCCAACCGCCGCCGCGCCCGCCCCGGCGCCCCCGCGCCCGCCCCCCGCGCCCCGCTGCCCGCCGCGCCCGGCGCCCGCCCCCGCCGCCGCCTGCCGCCCTGCGACGACAGCAGCAGCAGCGGCGCGGCGCCAGCGCGGGCGGCTGACGGGGCGGCCGTTGCGGCGGCGCCGAAGCCGGCGACGACGGCGCCGGCGACGTCTCCAGCGGCGGACGCAGGACGACGACGAGGAAGAGACGATGCCGGAAGGCGGCCCCACCGCCCCCGCCACCGCCGCCCCGTCCGCGCCAGCCGCCACGCCGCGGGCGGCTGCGAGCGCGGCCGGCGGTTGGCGCGTGGTGGAAGGCGGCGCGACGGCCGGGGGCGGCCGGCGCGCGATCCGGAACGCCCGCCGCCCTCGACGCCGCCAGGACCGCCCCGCCGCCGCCGCCGCGGCCGCGCAGCGCGTACGCAAAAAGCTCGCTCCCAGCTTCGCTCCAGCGCCCGAAGAAACTGCGCAGATCATCCAGGCCAATATGGAGAAGAACAAAACCTGAGCTTCCCAGACCCCCAGGTAGCGCCGCCGCCAAAGAAGCTTTCCACCTTGACTTGCGCTTAGAAAAAAAATATTTGAAAGAACAAGCATTTGATAATAATAATGGTCGGTACCTAAAATCCAAAAATAAACAGATGACAATACCAGTTCTCGTTGATGAAACGACAGTCAATAGCTGCTTGTAGTTATAAAAAATATGGATTTTACCACTTGCGTTATGTCATTAAAGCTGTTTTTCTTTGAATTACGAGGACGAGATGCATAAACAGGATCGTGGCAGATCGAAAGATGAAGTGTCAACAGATCTCAGCAATTCCGGTGTATCTGGAACGCATCTCCGTCACCGCTGCTGCCCACAGGAAGCCGCCCGCCGCCGAGCGCAAAAAGCCACCACCGCCACCGCCGCAGCGCCGCCCCGCCCGCCGCCCACGCCCCCCGTTCCCCCCCCGCCGGCCGCCGCCCCGGCGCTGCTGGCGGAGGAGCGCCCTGCTCGACCACTTGCAGCAGGGGCGCCGCCGCCGCCGCTGCCGCCGCGCGGGCCCGTCGGCGTGCGAGTGCGGGCGGCGGCCGCGCGGCGTTCCCCCGCCGCCCGCGACCAGCCCCGCCCGCCCCCGCCGCCGCCGCCCGCGTCGCCGGCGCGCACGCCGGCACGCGCTCGCCTACCCGCACGCGCATGCGCCACGCCCGCTCGCGCTGCGCCACGAAGCTGCACCCCCGGCGCGCCCTGCGGCCGCAGCAGCGGCCGCCGGCCGCCGCGCGCGCCGCAGCGCTGCCGCCGCCTACCAGCACGCGTAAGTGAAGCCTCGCGGAAGGAAGCGGCGCGCCCTCTCTCGCCCACCCTTGCCTCGCCTCGCCCTTGCCCTCGCCTCGCTCTCGCCCTACGCCCTCGCCCTCGCCCTCGCCCTCGCCCCTCGCCCTCGCCCTCGACCTCGACCTCGACCTCGACCTCGACCCCGCCCTAGCCCTAGCCCTATCCCGCCTTTCGTCCCCGCCTCGTCGCCCCTCCCCCCTCCCCGCCCTCTCACCAACACCCTCCCATCTACTGTCCTCTCCCCCACCACCTTCTCGACAAACGCCCTCGTCTTTACCATCAGTATTATTTACACTTCTTGTGACTTTTGCGTCTGAAGAATGTTTAAATTATGGTTATAGAAAAATTGGATTATATTATATTATTATTATTATTATTTATTATTATATTTTTCTTAATAAAAATCCAATCACGTAATACCATCGATGTTAAAAAAAACATCGGTTCAATAAATTGACGTTAAATGCATGATATTTCTTAAAAACGACCTATGTTTTCAAACAAAAAAATCCCAACATGCGATGAAAGGGCATCCCCTACGCTTTGGAGTGCCGCTGTCTTGTGCGGCTTTGGGTGGAGTTGTGACGGGTGCGGGGTTCCTGCGGCAGGTGGCGCGGCCGCCGACGCCGCCGCCTCCAGCCGCCGCCGCCGCCGCGCACGCCGCCGCGCGGCCGCTCGCGTTCGCACGAGGCCGACGCGTGCGAGGTTCGCGCGGTCGCGCCGCGCCGCGACGCCGCGGGCCCCGCCGCCTGCCGCCTGCCCGCCGCCCTCGGCCACTCGTCGTCGCCGCACCACCTCAAGCACCGCAACCGCGAGCAGGACCAGGCGCGCGCCATGGCGCAGGTACGTCACGCTTCTGCGCCTTTCTCTTCTTCCTTTTTCTTATTCCTTTTCCTTCATTTCCTTATTCCTCTTCCTTCTTTTTCTTCAGTTTCCTTCTTTTTCTTCTTCCTCTTCCTTTTTTTCTTCTTCCTTTTCCTTCTTTTTCTTCACCCTCTTCGTTCTTTTTCTTCTTCCTCTTCCTTCTTTTTCTTCTTCCTCTTCCTTGTTTTTCTTCCTCTTCCTTCTTTTTCTTCCTCTTTATTCTTTTTCTTCACCCTTCTTCCTCTTCTTGTTTTTGGATGAGTCTATAGTTCTAGGTTTCACTCTATTCCAATATTTCTTCACGTATTTTTTTAGATTGTACTATCAGGTATCATGGGGAAAATTGGGAAACCGGGAATAAAAATGTATTTTAAACGCCACCAGATGGCAACTGAGAAGAGTACAGGGTAAAATAAAAAAGATAGCTTAAACTGAAGGGATAAGTAAATTACGAGTAACTAATATGAGAACGTATTCTGTAGGTCGATGTTGATTTTCTTTTTGGTGGTCTACTTGCATTACCTCTTCATCATTCGCCCTTGACATCTTTCTCTTTGTCTCGTCTCCTTTCTACTTCTTCTTGGGCATTTCCCTTTCAGGAGTTCGCTGTTTCGATCTCCTGACTCATTTTTAAACGTGAACGGGATGTGTATTCACCCAGATCACAATGCACCTCACCACACCTATCATTTTGGTTGCTTTTCTGTTGCAGAAGTTTTGCTATTTTATCCCGACTCTTCTCCATATGACTCTTTTCCCCAAGGTTTTTTTTAACACGTGTAAATCCATGAATGCTCATCCTTGAAGTTAGTTATGGATAGGCCCTCATTATACGATAGGAAAAGAATTCTCAAATTGCAATAAAAGCAATTATATATTTAAAAGATTGTACATTTTCGGCTCGGGCGCCGAAGTCCCTCTCGAATGACACGATTGTCTCTTGCCCAGGTTGTGCGCTGGCTGGAAAAGGAGTTCTCGTCGACGCTGGACGCCGCAGCGGCCGGCAGCCCCAAGGGCGCGCGGGACACCTCGCCGCCCTCGCCGCCGCCCCCGCCGCCTCCGCCCGCCCGCGCCGCCGCAACCGCCGCCGCCTCCAGCGCCACCGCCGAGCGCGTGCGGGACCCGGTGGAGCGCCACGAGCACCACCACGTGCACGAGCACGTGCACCACCACTACCACCACTATCGAGACGCACCGCCCCCGGTCCTCGTCTGAGGCTTGCAGGTACTAACGCTCGCGCGCGCTGGCGGTGGGCGAGGAAGCAATGAGCCCGTGTTGGGTTAGGGCCCGTTCACAATGCAAACATAAACATGAGCATGGCGTTAACATAAAAGTTAGGGCTCATTCACAATGCGTTCGCATAAGCATAACACGTAAGACGTTAACTTAAAAGCTTGCAAGCTTCTGCGCTTATGCTTACGTAAGACATAAGAAATAAACCAATTACAGAACGGTAACTCAAAGCCGAGAATCGAAATTGGAGCGAAGTCGATAAAAGAATAACGCCATATGGGACATAGACACAGTCGAAATCTTGAAATCGATTGTCACATCCAACCAGAAAGTCCCACAGCCAATAGAAACTTATTTTGCTTACGTTTATGTTAGGTATTGTGAATACTTCAGTCTGTCGCTTATGTTAATGTTTATGTCTATGCGCTATGCTTGTGTTTACGTTTGCATTGTGAATGCGCCTTTAAAGTCACAGTGCAACGGAAGTATCGGTCATACGATACCGGAAATATGCGAGCGGAATCGTCCGACTGGTTTCATACGAAAATCACCCGAATGTTACGCCATAAATCGGCCCGGGCTCATTGTTTGAAACATTTGCACGAAGCACACTCAGAATCTTCTGTATTAAAGATGGTGTTGGTTTTGCAACTGACTTCGGTCGAATGGCGATGGTCAAACGGTTGGCTATCGGAATGTTATACCCAAGTTGGCGGGTTCAAACCTCATTAAAGCCGTGGCTTTTTAAGGACGAAAAAACCCTTCGTCCGCCTTCCTTTGGAGGGGAAGTAAAGCCGGCTGTCCCATGTTAGTAGAGTTACTTGCATGTAAAAGATCCTCAAGCCTAAATGAACTAAATTCAAATCGCCTGTTTCGTCGCCCAAGAAATACCTCCTTTCTTCGCTTATAGGTGAAAGGAGAGTAGCGAAATTTGCGTGGTCAGACGGAAGAGCGGGCCTGATGGCCCGAGTCTCGGCGTATAAAATAAGGCATCTATTCAATTCAATTCAATGGAATCGACATAGTCAAACGAATCAGACCGACAACCTGGTTTTTCAGATGCAGTCGGAAAAGGTCGTTTGGGTTCACTATGATCATGTACGTATTTGAACGAATCCGACACATCAGACGAAAACATCATGACACAAGACAAAATGACTACTTTAGGTATTATAACAAAGATAAGTAAAAATATTGGTTCAGTGTCTGTGAAAACAATTCATATTTTACATCAGGGTTGTTCAACTGGCGGCCCGCTGTGCCATTTATCCATATCCTAATTCAATATGTCGTTGAAGAACACCTGATGAGTCTGCAACTAAATTAATTTTGTATTCAACTAATTCCTTAAAGGAATTCAAAGGAAAAAATCACGTTATCAAAAAAAATATTTCTATAATCAAATTTGTATTAAGAAAACGAGAATTGAAAAATCGGCTGAAGTCTAGAACACGGTACAACTTAAGGATGTCGTTTAAATCGACATTTTGCGCCGCTCTGGTGAGAGAGAAATCCACGGAATTAAGAGGTAATTAGGGGTAAATGAGGGGAATCTATCAGTGGGGAGGGGAAGTGAGCCGTATACGGAACTTAGTATATTCTTATAATAAGCAAAGTGTGAGCGGTCTCGCTGGCTAAACCGCCCACCGCCTTCGGCTAAATAGACTAAGAAAATTATAAAAAGTATACTACTGAAATATATTTTAACAGTTCTTAACTGGTCACGATCGTGACGTCAAAAGTTAGGGGAAGCAATTTCACCCTAGAATCTTGTCTGAGCTCCATTATCACATAGGGCCGCAATGTGCCCGTGTGATTTTGTGTGTCGGGATAGCTGTCGAAGTGATTAGCTACGTTGCTGTCGTACAGTTACATTTTTTGTGCTCTTCTTGTTCTTTGTGATTTGTGTTTTTGAGTGTCTAGTGTTAGTGCTACGATTGTGTGAATAAATGATGTTTTCTTACGCGTTGTAAAGGAAGGGATTTTTGGCTATTTGAGTGGTAGCAAGAACGTGTTTTGATTGGTGCAGGATTTACATGTCTCGTGTGTAAGTAAATGTCCGATGAGGTTGGCCAAGCGAAAAGAGTGGTGTGATCGTTTCGAGTGGCAGGGCAGTAAGAAAGGAGCTACTCCTATTACGCGTGAATGTTCTGATCGGAAGAGTCAAGTGAGAGGTTTTTCTCGTTCCTTGTGGGCGTCTCCAAACTTTACGATACGTGAAAGTCACCTATCGGTAAGTTTTGTTAATTTCTTTCAGAGCGCTTAGTGTAATCTGAGGGAGGGCTTAAGCAGACCTCCCCCCGCCGATCTCTCGATGGGCTTACTGCGTTCTCAACTTAAACGATAAAATTCTCCCTATTTGGTAATTCTGCAACTATTTTGCAGATACATAATGTTATTTATAACACACACCTCTATGTTGTCTAAAGATGTATTACATATTCCTGATTTAATTGAGAATGATCTTTTTGAACAAGATCAGGTTGTACTCTGTATCTATCTTTCAAATTGTGTAACAAAAGTTCATACTAATGCAAGTAATGGTTGTGGTGCTGTATTGCTTTAGCAGCATCAAGATGATGGTCATATGCATCCTTTTTATTACACAAGTAAGAAAACTAAGCCTGAAGAAGAGAATTATACTAGTTGTGGATTGAAGATGTTAGCAGTTAGGGTTGCTTTAAAGAAACTTTTGTGCTTGCTTATTGGAAACAGGGTTTAGAATTATTACCGATTGTTCAGCTCTTTAAAAAACAACAGATAAAAAACATTTGGTTCCTGAGTCGCTTGATGAGTCACACTATTAGAAGAGATTGATTTTACTCCAGAACGTCGTAAGGGTTTAAGATACCTCATGTCAGTGCTTTGAGAAGTCGGTTACATGAATATTGTGGACTTGTTGTTGGCATAGTAGTAGCTATTAAACAAGCTCAAATTCCAGATGATGATATCCATGCTATTATTGAGATGCTTTATACAAAACCATACAAAGATTCTTTGAGTGACTGAATTCTCTTTAAAAATTATGGTGAAGAAACGTTAGTGGTTTCATTTTCTATGCAGCATGAATTGGTGCAAAATGTGAATGAAAAAGAACACAACTCTTTACTGCCTACAGAAGATATTAAACAACATTTCTATGAACTTGTGCTAAAAGTGTGTGTGTGTGTGTATGTATATGTGTGTGTGTAGCTTTTGCACGATTTTTACATGAAGTTAATGCAATTTATATTTCTTTCTCTTCCAAATTTTCTTTTAAAATTATTCCATGGATAGGGGAAAGGACGCAAGTCATTTTAGTTGGAACACTGAATTTTCAAAAATGCTTAAGTTAAAATATTGCCAGAAACTGTGTTTTGAATCGTTGTGAATGTTGATTCTGCACGACTGGTGAACTAGTGATAAAGTGCCTGGTGTGTTGAATCGAAGGACTCGAGTTCAAATCTTGGCATTGAAGAAACATTTTTATTGGTTGGAAACACTTTTGAAGGTTTATTACAGTAAGTAGTATCATATTGTGTAGCCGTAACAAATAATGTGAGAAAGAATGTGTTGTTGTAACTCCACAAGTATATGTGGAAGCAGAAAGATATATTTGTAGTAAACATCTAGTGTTATTATTTGAGATCTGTTATAACTAAAAAGGTTAACTTGAAATCCTCTGTGCTTACAGGCCTGCCAATTGGCCCGGCTTGCTCTACCCAGCAGCACCTAAGCACCACTCCTGATACTCAGCAGTTCTTTCTCCTCCTGAAAAGGGTTCGTGACGAACTGCTATTTGGTGGTTACTGGTGTCAGCAAGGAGCAGCCACATTGATGTGCCGTTGGCAGTGCCTCTTATCAGTGTTGATACTTCTGATGCAATTTACTCATAAAACTGCCAATGCAGAAATTGAACAACAATTCAAGATAATGTGTTAACAGTGAGGAATGTATGTTTGTAACAAGTGGCCAGTGATTGAATTGGTTAAAATATTAAATGCCATGTCCAACAACAAAGATAAGCAAACTGCAAAGATACTTTTTCTATACTAGAGATTAAAATTACATACATTTTAACATTTAAAAAAAATTATTTAGTTACATATTAATGAACAAATTCGGCCTCTGAAAAATTATTTTTTGAAGTGGAAAAATCTTCACAATTTTTCAATATTATCGTAACCTACACCAAAACATTATTTTGAAAATATTCATATCATCAGTAAACAAGTGAAACTCACTAAGTCCCCACACCAAAATTTGAGGTAAATCATGTTGAATCTGTTAAATTTGACAAAATTTGTTTCTTCTGCTACATAAGAACTAAAACCTGGGTAATAGTGTTTAATATTCACTTTACTATATAATATTGTTTTAAGAAACAAAAAAATAAAAGTAATTATTTTTTTTAATGATAAGGAATAATTGCAGGGTTTTGTTACTAGTTAAAAAAGGAAATGATCCATAGTTTAGTTCACCCACACTCTAGGACATGAGAAAAAAATGGGTTTACTGAATTTCACTTGCATGCAGATGACGTGTAGCTCTTCTGTGCCAAAAGTTATTTCACCAAACATTCTCATTGATGGATGATGATGCTCCTGTAATTTATTATGTAACATGAAATTTGAGTTTCATTTTGTCTTGTTGGCTTTTAGAAAATACTAATTTCTTTTAATAATATGGCATTGAGAGGTAGAACTCTCTAAAGGAAGAATATGCGACATAACAGAAATAAAATGCTTCCTTATTTGTTACGTTCCACACTTGGAACTACTTGTCCTGCTAGTCTTGACACAATGGCAATGTACTTAAAACCAGCAGGCTAATGAACTCTGTGGTAATCAGTGTTGCTGTAGTTTCATGTATCAATGCTGCCAAATGATTACGAGTTATATATAGATATTATTTATTTCAGTGTGATTCTCAGTATATGAATAGACAGCAATTGCGCTTACAGGTATGATGTTTGTACATATTTATACACATTTGTACATAAAAGAATGAATGTGTGAATGCACTAAAGATTTAAGACTGGTAGCAGCTTAAGTAATTATCTACCTCCACTAAGATGGGATTGGCTCCCACAAGAAATTTGTACTTTGCAAATGTTCTGATTTACAATGATTGAATCAGGGATTGGAAGCATAATTTTATTTTGGTATTAAATTATGATGGTCTTGGTTGAATACTGTCTGCATTCAGTGAAATATTTTGTTCACAGTATGTATTCATTTTAATTGAATTTTTTGTTGATCCTTTTCTTTTGAGATATTCTTGAATGGGAAAAAAAAGTGATTCTACAACTGGTCCTGCATCATTGTTGCAGGCATAATGTACTATTATTGCAATGCTAACTAGTAGATTTCAGGTCTATCAAATACTTTAATTATTTACGAGAAATTACTTAAAAGAATCCATCACAGCAAAATTCCAATACACTTCCAGTCCCTGAAGCAAGAGTTTTACGTGTGTCTTGCAAGTGTTTGTTTTAAAAACATATGCAGGATTATGCTGTGTGTAACACAATCTAAGCATGTTAATTTTGTGCATTTCTTCTAATATGTAACAGTGATTTGTATAGTGTAGATATTATGAATATATGTCCATATATTTATTTTACTTTACTCATAAACATGTCAAATGACAATAGGACTGACATGAAGGCCTTAAAAGGAAATTGATCCTGTGCAGAAATGTTCAGTGACTAAAATACATTTTGATGGAGACCTCAAAGAAGGTAATCATAGCAATATGCCCAAAGAGATCTGCAACTAAGTCTTAAGAGTCAGATAAGAATGTTACTTTGACATAAATTTAAGCTCCAAATGAAACTGACTTAGAACCAAATGTAGCAACAACTGGCTGTACATTTCTGCCTCAGAGGTCAAGTAACTGCAGAATAGCTCAAGAATTCCAATTTGGTTCTGTACAATCATATAATGACAAGTATTAACTGACTCCACATGTTTGTTTATGCTCTGTGAATGGCAACTTGACTGAATGAGAGAACAAATTGATTCAGCCAGGCAGTTGTAGAGAGAGCTTGTCATGTGTAAACCAACTTGTATCTTGTTCATTAACATTTTTGTAGAGCTACAAAATAATTCTAAGTCAATAGCATTCCATATTATAAAAGTTAAATTTAATAAATAAAATGCATTACTTATTTATTTGAATTCTTGAAGTTTGCTGAAATGGAAAAGGTTCAATAGTCATAAAATTAAAACAAGTGTTGATCAATACAACCAAATAATTTACTGGAAAATGCAAATACATTTATGAGACCTAATGACAGAAGTATGTGTGAGAAAAATACTTGTCACTATAATGGAAAATCATTTCAGTGGCCAATAAATTAAATGGATCTGTAAGGAACATAATACTGATTATTTTCCTAGTTTTTACATCACAATCAAAAACTCCCTTTCACTCTATTATCCATCCAAAAACACCAGAGGTACGATGGCTGCGTCGCCCTTACAGAAATTGTAATTAGTTCAGGGCAACGCTTCTGTTGCGGTCATTCAAAATGTCGTTTACGAGGAACAGACTGCTCATTGGCCAACGCAAAACGAACATCCAGTAAACAATTGGTAGGAACTGATGTAGGCACACTTCCAGATTCCAGAGACCTGCAGGACAAAGATTCTTTGTTTTCTCCACACAATTGTTTACAAAAAAAATTAGTAGTATTCTATACCAAACTATCATCCTAAAGAGAATACATTAATTGTCTGTGTCCACAATGTTGTTTACCAATATCCACAGGAATTCAACAAGTCCTTCTGAGAGATAGTTTAATTTTTCTACTCACTTGTGTGTCTCCACATTGGTCCAATGAACAGAAGAAGCAGGAAATATCTGTGCACCTGTACATAGTCTAGCCATTCCATATAAGAGCAGCAAAAACAATGTTGTTGCCTGGACAATGACAAAGTGTGAAATAGATGTTCCTATATCCAACCATGAGCCTTGGTTTGTCACAAGGTGCAAGAAGTGTACACCAACCAAATCACACTGTATAAGCATGAGTAGGAAGAGTTGATCTGCTGGCACCTGTTCTCAAAAAAGGATCTGTTATAGTTCTTTCTCATTTCCTCGGTGAGCAATTCCTAAACACAAAGATATATAGAAAAGAGTGAATATTCTCCCCTGAATTTCTCATTTCTCATTGTTGCACAGTATTTTTTATTCATTTCAATACATTCTTAACCCACTATAGATTGAGGGGCTAATTCAGTAGTCGCATTCAAATTTTGCTACCCATTAGTCGGTGCTCAAACATGCTAACAGTATGGTTGAAGCTAGCTGTTACTTGAAATAGTGACAGTAAATTGGAATTGATAAGTATAGCACCAAAGCACAAATTCATAGAAGAAATGGATGAAAAAGAGGATGTTAGTTTACAAACAAATGGTTCTTTTACAGTTTTGGATTTTTTATGGGCCCTATTGTGTGTTTTGACTAAAAAAGTGAAAGGAATGTTTTTCACCTGTCCTGATCATGATCACAAGTTTAAGGATACAATGGAAATTTTACTTTAATTTTACACCCAGATAACAGGAAAACATTGCACAAGGTTTCCATCATCAAGTGTAATTTTTATTGTTAATATTAAACTACATTTCAGGGCAATAACCATTTATTTCCTTTTTTTCAAGCCAGAAGTTTTTTTAATTTTTTTTTTTAATTTTTTTTTTTTTTTTTTTTTTTTTTTTTTTTTTTTTTTTTTTTTTTTTTTTTTAATTTTTCTGTTGAAAATAGACTACACACATTCAAATACTTTAATTTTCAGGTGAATGTCATGCTCACCCTTGACCTATTAAGCATTATAAGGTCTGACTTGAATAGGCTGAATCATGGATTCAAATTGTTTTGTTTTTTATGGGCCCTATTGTGTGTTTTGACTAAAAAAGTGGAATGAATGCCTATCCAACAAGTTGTACATTTCATTTACAAACAGCAAAAAGTTCCTTTTCTCAGCTATGTAATATTTATTTGTAACTGCCTGCATAATATGTAAATTGAATCCATTAATAGAATGTAAAAATTAAATATTGAAATAATTGTAAGCATTCTGAAAACAAGAAATTTCTGACATTTTTTTCTTTACTTATCAAGAACATAATGCCAAAATAATTTGGGAAGTAGCATCCCAGCTAGAAGCATTACTAATAATCTGGATGAATAAAAAGAAAGAAATATTAATGAAATATCACAAGAAACTGATAAAATTTATTTACTTACCTGTAACATGACATTCTGAGCTCGGAAGACACAAGTCACCAGGAAAAATGGAATCACAGTTTTCCATAAAATAAGTGTGGTCATTAAAAATGGAGAAAATACAGTAACAAAACATCGTACCCATGTTGGATCAAAAGAATTTAAGCTTGCTATGTTTCCTGTGCCAAAAAAGGATAAAATCACATAAAATAACTAATTTCTGTTAAGGACTCATCATATTTCAAAATACTGTGCTGTGTCATGAAAAAACTAGTTTACTACTAAATCAATTGAACACTCAATTTTCAAAGAAGGCAATAATAAAGGTAACATCTGAATTTCTGAATAATAGTTTGTGAGTAGTAGTTCATGACAAAAAACACCTACATGAACATGATCAAGTTTGCATATGTTAATTTGACCATGCATTCCAGAATAAGCGTCGCTAGTCTAACTTATCTTGGAACTATTGCTTTATCATCATCATCATCATCATCATCATCATCATCATCATCATGAACGAATAAAGGTTTAGGTCTATTTTCCTTTCATCACTTTTAAGGTGTTCCTGGTCTTCCTAAGGTTTTCTTGGTCTGCTTGAACCTCTTCTTCCTTTTGGCTTGGATTTGAACGTGTATCTCAGAAAAAGTTCTATCATCATCTTTTGTGAGTGTGTTTTCTTACCATTTTTTGGTATTTTTCAATTTCTTAAACAATACTGTTTGCTTTGAGTTTTCAAACGTTAACTCGCAAGCCATGCTACACCATTCCATCTACTCCAGGCTCATTATTGTTTGTGACTGGTATTGTAATTGACTCAGAAAAAAAACAAGCATACTCATAGAAAACTCAGTTTAAATACAATAAAACTTGATCATTAAAGAAGGTTTGAATTGATTTTTTAAATTACGTGTAAGAGACACTATAATTTCAAAGAAAGAGAAATCCACTTTCCACATAAAGGCAACTGCAGAACTACGTGGCATTACCTTCATGTCAAACAATGGGGAAATATAAAAGGTATACAAGAGTGTAGTCAGGTAGCCAGTATTGACTAAATGATACAGAGTTAACCTAATGTTGACATATTCTACATGACCACAGTCGTGCAGTGTTTAGACATTCGATTCTTTTCCAAGAGTTGTCCACTGACCTCCTGTAATTCCTCTCAAAAAATTATAGGAGCAAGCAATGTAAAAATCAGATGGAGAACTGCCTCCAGCTCTCAATATGACATTTATTATACTTGTTTCCTAGCACAATAAATAATTATATCTTTAAAATACTACCCTAAAAAGTTAAATTTACAAATATTACAGAAAATTGCTCTCAGAGCAACAACGTTGTCCCTCCCAGCTTTCCTGGTTTACAATTAGAATTAATTTGATTTTGAATCTTAAGAGCTATATACTAAAAGAAAAGGATACAAAGAAATAGGCCCTCCTGAAATCACTAAGTGTCATATGATGTTTACTTGTGATGTCTTTGATCTTGCAGTCATGCACGTCAAAAGTTATTTCTGGGACCTTTAAAAAAAATGAAAATATTAAAAATTGGTATTTAGAAATTTTACATACTTTCTATCACAAATAAAAACTTTTATGATTAGTTCATTTACTAATCAATTAATTTGGCAGCTGAATGCACAACTTACTGAGCAAGCCTGTGGGGCAAGATATGTTTCCAGAAGTAACCAACACAACAGGTGCAACGTCAGTGCCAACAGGAACAATGGTTCATGACTAGCAGAGAGCAGGAGAAATGGAATAAAAAGTGCAATGACCAGTGAAAGTAAACGGGGCAGCCCCTGACATGATCCCATCAGGGGCAGAAGCATCACCACTCCTGAAAAGTGCAATACTACTTAAGCATTATAAGTCAAGTGTTAACTCATGTAATATGATTTTGTGTATGGATGTAAATCCACTTTCCTCTCAACTCTTTTTCTGTGTTTATAAGAGTAAATTACAAAGCAAGTTTACCTTTTTGTATTTGTGTGTTTTGTGAACAAGATAAGATTTGTTGTGATGAAGTCTCTGGAGCAAATAATTTTCCAATAACAAAGTGAAAGGAAGGTCCTAGCGTGACAGCAAAAACATTGGCACCTGAGCCAGGACACAGCTTCTCCTTGAGAGCCAAGGAGATACTGACTCAAGCCGCGGAAGCCTAAGCTCTTATTTAATGATCAAAATGTTGCTTTATGTGCCCAACACATAGAAATAATCGTTTTAAACAAATGCTTAAATAAATCCCTAGTGGCTTTATGTTGAATACCAAAGAACAAAGCCAATATAAGAGCACAAAACACAAGCAAACTTACATTGTAACTTTCCCTAATAAAATCATGAAAAGGAAAAGTAATTATGATAATTACCTACCACACAACATCCATGAAAGAATTTGGTTGAAGAGTGGAAGTCCAAGACGCATTATCAAGCTATTCTCAGTGCTGTGTATATTCCACAATGTCAGCATTAAGCAAAGCACTAGTATCGTCAGGACACGTGTGGAACGACGATCAATGTCTTGTACACGATGCACAACCAATGCAGCAATGCCACTGAATGCCAGCCCCAAGAGACCTGTCAACTGCCTGACAACAAAATGATTCATTCTAAACTCTTGCTGCAAATTAATAATTAAAATATACTTTAAAAAGATTAAAATACACATGCACACACACATCCATGTGTTCACTCACACGCCACACATACACTCCCACCCACACACTCACATGCACTACACTACCATATACTACACCATACTAACACACATACTATACACTACCATGCACACACACTTACTCACATTACATTACACTACACTACCACCAAACACACATGAAGAGAGACCAATCAGGAGCTTAGAGCTTGTTTCAGCCAGAGTAGAGCTCTGCTAGGGGCGATAACTGGTGATTTCACAAATATACTAATTAATATCTAAAGTGGAGAAGAAAATTTGCAATTCTGGAACACACTTTGTATACATTTTGTATACCTCACACAAACAACATTCAATACTTGATTATTAAATTCATTTTGAAGAGCAAAGTTCATGTCAGAGTTTTTAGGGACACTGACCGAGGTTTATATAGGTTACATAAACACTACTTACTCTAGCTTTATTAGTCGTTTACTTTTACATTTTTATAACACAATCTCCGTTTTAAATAAAAACTAAACATATCAAACAATTTTTACTGCAACTAACTTCTTTTTATACTACCTTGA